GCTGTAATTATACTAATTTAGATTTAGCGGTCTAGATCTCTCACTACCTAGGTACCATCTCTAAAATTAATGTCGGAATTAATTACTTCGAGCCAGCGCATACCGAGTATTATATCGAATCCCTCGATATTCGTAGATAATAAATTAAGTCTGGCCTTAGTAGTCCTCCCCCGGTCATTAATGGCCTAAACCTCGAGGCTATAACGGCCGTAAATAGTAATCTACCGACCATTCATAGCCTTCCTAAATATATTTAGTGGAACGCCTTTCAAACTAAGCCTAACAACAGTTATCTATGAGATGAAGTCGTTCTGTGCCCCATAGTTCATAAGGGCCCGTAATCGATGCTTCTCGCCCTTTACTCGGACTATTACTTAAATGCTCACACAGCGTTGCTCTAATGCGCCGTATCTCGTAGACTAAATGTACCCTAATGCGGTAGCTACGTTTACCACATTAATATCTATTTTTTTATACCCTTTTCAGAGTAATTCCGTACTAAATGCCCTTCCTTATAGCAATTATAGCACTTAGGAACAAACGAGGACGTTAATTTTTCTCTCTACTTAGCTTTAGGCTTAGCTAATACGTTTAGCGAACTAGATATATTTTTTCCCTCCCGATTCGAGTGGAAAGTTCTATTCTCACTTCCTATTACAGCCATCGATATCTTTTACTTTAGAAGCTTATTTCTTTTCCCTAAAGCATCCTTCTCCTTAGTCTTACCCTTTTACTCATTCGCGAAACGTATCTTATGGCGATAGACGGCCGTAAGGACAGTATCTCTATTAAGACGTACCTCCTATGGCTCTACCATAACTACGTTACGAATATTAAGCTATAGACCGTAAAGAAAACGTCACATCTTTTACTTAACTTCCGTGAGCCTTAATACCTCCACCTCGACCTCTATCTACTCTAGTTTATATAAGTACTAACGAATACTCTATTCTTTTTATTACTTTCTAAACTAAGCAGCATAAGTGACCTTAAAAGTGTGAGTTTAAGGGTCTTTAATGGTGCCTCGAAGAAACGTAAGGAATTCCTTCTAACTAGCGAGCACGTTGCGTTATCTATAATATATCTAACGAGGCTCTCTATCTAGCTAGGTTACCGCCGTTTAGATAGCCCGCTTAGCTACCTTAGGGTCTATTAGATCCTAGTGATAGAACTCGAAATACATCTCGATGCCTATAATAAACTCGGTTAAGACCTAGTAACTATCTCTATTAAAATACTTCGGGGGGTCCGTCTTAAAGATTTTCGCGTAGTTAGCTAAATTATCTATAACTAGTCGCTTATTATTCCCACCTAATTTAGGTAAGAGACTTCGAGAATATACTATAGTCTCTTACATTAATCTCTGTTCTACACTAAGAGTACCCTCTCTCCGTAGATAATGGATTCGATCTATTTATTCTCGCCGTGTCCTTTCTCTTTTAAGCCTAAATAGTTCGGCCTATAATTATTCATCATCCATTTCTTCGAGGTCACTCACGTCCGTAGGCGTGAAAATGGGGTGTCGCGGGTCTACAGGGCCCGCAGTAGTCGTAGGGTCTTCATCGACAGTCCCCGACGAGACCTCGGGCGCCCCATTGTCTCGGGGCGATGGGGAGTTCATTCTCACCTAATTTAGGTAGGAACTTACTCTAGTAAGGATGATTTTTGGGGGTCTCCCTAGAATCGTATATAGCTACTACTAGCTCGATAGTGTCACTGCGTAATAGATAAGCGTTGAGAATTATTAGAGACCTACGCAACGCAGTAGATATAAAGGAATTAGAGTAGCTAAATGCCTTATTCTATTCACGTAGCTCTATTAATAACGACTTAACGCTTAAGAAAAAGGAAGAGTTCTCTCTCAGCCGATTTAGGTGAGAGGAGACTCTTATAGCTTCCCCTCTTTCTATCACGTGAAAAGGGTAAGGCAGCGTTAACCGATAGCCTTATGCCTCAACCGTCCTTTATCTTATCCTTTCCTTTTCTTTCTATACCGTCCACCCGATTCGGGTGGAGGGCGTAGAGTACTTAGGGATAACGGTGGGTTCGTGACAATGGCGTCCTTCAGAGGCATAGATGAGGGGTTATCCGACCGTGTGGCTAGTTTATAACTCCATGCTATCTCGACTCGCTGCACTGAAACTTATGGTCTAAGAGATCAGCGAGACGTCTGAAAAATTCAAATTCTCGAGATTGCTTTTTAAATGGGCCAGGATTCCAACGCTGGCCCTATCAAAGGCCGTGTTAGCACGTTCTTCCATTATAGTGTGTGTAGATTGTGAGCTAATTAACCTTGCGATCATCGATTCTTCATAATAAGACCATTATGAATTTTAAGTTTCTGAAATCTGTTGAAATCTACTATGCACTTTATAGTATGGAATTCTTAGCGTGCTTGACATAGGCAAAGGGATCTAAGGCTTACACTAAATTTAAGGCTGAAATTGAAGTACGCTAGCGCGAGGCTGAGATATTATTGCACAAAGCGGCAACACCTTCCGAGAGTTTAGGGTTAGGGTTACTGGGGTACTCAGAAAAGCTAGTAACTATGACATCCTTAGCTTAGCATGATCACAATTTTCTCCGCATCGCGCCGACAGGCTTTTAACCTTAGGGCAGACTTTCATCACAATTTGATCCGCTCGTCTTTCCTAAGCATCACCTCACGTGAGCTCGTAGCAAGTGCGAGGGCAATCAGTCTCTCGCTCCTAGTGAGTCTTCCTCTTTCAAACTTCAAGAATGACAGCAAGACCGAGCAATATGCTGAAAAGGCTTCACCTGGAAGACGATGAACTTGAGAGCCAGAAACGCGCCAGGTCGAACAATGGCTCTCCTCATCCCACCACTCCAGCTGCAGCCGCCTCCTCTACGCCGACGGGAGCCAAGCCAGATGCCGATGCGATAGTGGCCAGAGCTAAAGCTGCGGCTGCAGCCAAAGCGGCCGAACTGAAAGCGAAACTGGCAGCCATGAAGGCCGGGGCGGCGACAGCGTCACCTGCGACAACAGCGAGTATAACGTCCGCCCCTGCTCTTAACGCAACAGACAGAATTGCTCAGATGAGGGCTCGCGTGGCAGCAGCGACTGGTCGGGCAACGGCGCAGACTCAACAGAAGAATCAGACAAGCTACACGGCGCCAATCTACAACGACGACATGTCAAGAGCACGAGGGGGGCTGAACATTGGTATACACCCTGACTTACTGGCGGACGCGCAACAGGATGCGCAGAGGAGCAAGGGACGGACACCGCAACCGAAGTTCGCCACTGCAATGGGAAATCGAAGAACGGAATCGCCCGCTCCAGTGCAGCAGAAGGCAACCTTGGACCTCTCAGGTCCCTCAATGGAAGAACTCAAAGACAACCCGTATTTTGATGCGAGCTTGGGACCCCGAAATGTCCTGGCGAAAGGTCGACATTCGCGACAATTAATCTTTAATCAGAAGGGCAAATATATTCAACAAGCGGCCGCACTCCGACGCCAAGCGCAACTAGAAGCTATGAAGAAGAAAATCGCGGAGCGGGCAAGGCAGGCCGGATTAGAAGAAGATCTTGATACCGAGAAAGCGTTCCTCGTGCCCGCCCCTCCCAACCTGGAATGGTGGGATGAAGGTCTCATCAACGGCAAGTCCTACGATGCCATCTCCGACCCGGAAAACTTAAAGATTGATACCCCAGACAGCATCATCACAGTCTACATCCAGCACCCCGTGCTCATTGAGCCACCACAGGAAAAAAATAACCCGCCCATGAAACCTATGTATCTCACATCAAAGGAACAAGCCAAACTCCGCCGTCAACGACGTATGGCCGAACTCAAGGAAGAACAAGCCAAAATCCGACTAGGCCTTGTCCCACCCCCCCCACCAAAGGTGAAAAAAGGCAACTTGATGCGCGTGCTCGGCGAGGAAGCCGTCAAAGATCCTACGGCCGTTGAAGCTCGGGTGAATCGGGAAATTGCCGAACGAGCGCAAAAGCACGAAGAAGCCAACCTGGCCCGTAAATTGACGAAAGAACAACGTGCCGAAAAGCTCGCAAAGCAGCAAGCTGAAGATGCAGCCCGCGGGATTCACATCCGCGTCTATAAGATTGACTCCCTTGCAAATGGCAAACACAGATACCAAGTCTCCGTCAACGCGGACCAGAATAGCCTTACGGGAGTAGTCATCATGCACCCCAAAATGAACCTGGTGGTGGTCGAAGGTGGCGAACACAGTATAAGGAATTACGAAAAATTGATGCAAAACCGTATTCGCTGGACCGAGATGGAAGCGCCCCGCTCTGTGCAAGAGGGTAACCGAGAAGCTCTTGCAAAGTGGCTCGAGGCCGAGGACGAGAATGGCGAATTGAAGGACTTGAGCTCGAATAAGTGCGAGGTGATATTCAAGGGGGAGGAGAAACAGAGGAACTTCAAGAGGTGGCTGGGAGCGAGAGTGTGCGAGACGGATGCCCAGGCGAAGGACGTGCTGAGTAGGGCCAAGATGGAGAACTTTTGGGCATTGGCGAAGAGTTTCAAGAGAGAGGCTTGAACGGTGGGAAAGGGAGGGTGCTCAGAAAGCTACCAAAAGGCGTATATTCAATCCGAAGGCTGTAGATACACATCAACATGAGAAAGCGCAATAAGCAGGGATGTATGAACGAGCCTTGGCCGGGGTGCTGAATCCTGATCTCTGCCTGCGGCAGTACGAGCAGCTCAAAATTTCGCAGACCAGTAGTGCTCTTAGACACCCACGTACAGAAAGACACGCAATCAAACCGTGTCAGCTTTATTCCGAGGCATGCACATCATCGCTCATACGCCATGCCATCTTTTGTCCTGCTTCCTGCTCTTTCGCAATAAACACCAGGAGAAAAGGTCAGAAAATCAACATATGACGATCCCATCCTGCTCGTCTTCCTTTCGGAGAAACTTGGCGAGCTTTGCCAATGTTTGGTTGTCCCGTCTCAAGATCAAAGCAATTTATTTCTCCTTCGTTCTTTCACGCCACTGAACCTGCTCGTCTCATGCGTTCAGCTTCCCTGCTGCCTGTTCCAAAATGCGCGCCACTTTCTCCACCTCCCTTTGAGCTGCCTCCCAGTTACCCATGTCAATGGCATCCCTCACACCAGGGAACGTGGCGTCGTCGTATCCACTCCATAACTGTGGTGCAAATATGACGTGCTTAAATTGGGTTCTGTTAACCAATCCACCACCCTCGCCAAGGTCGAGAAGATCCGTCTCGAAATGTGTGAGACGATTGTTGTGCTCTAAGCGGGCGGTGCCCATTGCTGAGGATTCGAAACCCCCAGAACCGAAGATGAAGTCACGCCAGGATGCATCGAAGCTGTGGAAGCGCAGAGCCTCCTGAGTGAGAATGTCTGACGCCTTCCGCAAAGGGGACAGATCAAGGGTATTTGTGTGGGATGCAGGAGGTGCAGCTTTTGCATACACGTCAAGGTCATCGACATATCTCGCAATAGCTCTCGCGTAGGCGCTGATGTCAAACGGGAGGAGCGGTCTGTCAGCCAACTCCAGGATGAGGAGAGCCCAAATTTCACCCATGGCCTTGTGATATGTCCAGTCTGGATCACCGAATTTGGCCATCCACTCGAAGTTATCATAGCAGGAGTGATAGGGGAATTTGGCGCCCTTGAAGAACATGTCGATGGAAGAGGTGCCGACGATATCTTGAAAGGCGACAAAGTCGCTTCCTGCGCCGAGGCCCTCAATGCTGCGGCTACCCGACTCCCAGAGTTCGCGGATAGATTTGCCTGTGGAGGGGTCACTGACGCGGTTGATTACATGGAGAAGGGGCCGCTCATAAAGAGGAGAGGCGGCGGCGTGGAAATCAACTCCTGTGACTCCGACGTCGACATTGAGGTAGGCTATTCCGTCGTCGCGCAATTGATTCTCCCGGTTCTCGACATACTCGGTGCTGCCGATCAGATTGTACTCCTCCCCATCCCAACTGGCAAATTCAATCGTGCGGAGTGGTCGCCAGCCTAGTCGACGCAGTTCGCCAAAGATGCGCACGACTTCGAGCATGACGGCGGTGCCGCTGCCGGGGTCGGCTGCGCCAGTACACCATGCGTCGCGGTGGTTGCCGACCACAATCTTCTTCTCAGGCTGCTCCCAGCCTGTAATCTTGCCCAGCACATTGTAGATGGGCTGCTTCTGTTCTTCATCTTGAAGATTCTTGAGATTGACTTGTGGAGAGTCCTGATTTCCCGTCCAATATTCAAAGTCAGGAACTCCCTGCCAGCTATCCGTCATCTGCTTGCCGTGTCCTCTGAGCACTTCGAGCAAATGCCTTGCATCCTCCCAGGAGATGGGGATGGAAGGAATCTTGTTGAGACCGGCGCTCTCTTCCGGTTTCAGATGTTTCTTGTTATCGGGCGTGGACGCCCATCCGGGAGTGAGGACGTCTCCCACAATCCAAGACATTAGACTGACAGCGCCCCTCTGGACAGCATCTTGTGGCATAAACCGTCCATTTGGAAAGGTCGGCCCTTGAACAAAGCCGTCTTGCGCAGGATCTGAATAGATGATGCATCCAGCAGCACCGGCAAGTTCTGCTGCTTTCACTTTTAATGCTCTGTCTCCCTGGGAGCCATAATAGCGAACAAGCACAACAGCATCCTTCACAGATATGCCTTCATCCTCGAGCGTCTTGAAATCTTCCCTCGACCCAAAATTTGCATATATCAGGGGGCCAGTCACGTCGCCCGACTTTGAATGACCATGAAACACCAAAGACCGCTCTTGATCTTCCTCGATTTTAGCCTCCCATTTCATGTTCTCCGGCTCAACGATGGCAACCCGTCTCCCGTTTTTCCGTGGATAATTCAGATAAACATCGTATCTCTCCATTTCGACGTCCTCCAATTCACCCGTTTTGAAAAGCTCCGCCACCCATTCTCCCAGCACATAATTGCCCTCGGTCCCTGCGATATGAGGGAAATCCGTGATGTGCTCCAGATATTTCTGCATGTGCCCATGATCATTCATATGGTTCTGTACGAATATTCTGATAGACTCAGGGTCGTATATCTGGCCCATGCCCATGCGATTCTTTGTAAATGATAGAACGTCCGACGCTATAAGTACATAGAGAACACCCATGATCAAGAAAACACCAAAGAGCCGCCCGATAATGACAACGCGATTTGCATCAAACTGTTGATAGTTTATGCGCGGCCATGAAATATTGGAGAGATATTGGCGGACGGAAGGGAGGTTTAGGGAGGAGAATGAGTTGGTCAGGTTCGAGAAACTCTTGGATAGGCGATATCGAAGCAGTGATCGGTGGGAGGAGTCGCTCTGAGGGTCTTCCACGTCCATCTGTTGCATCTCTCTGCGCACCTCGTCCTCGCCATCTTGCTCGATCCCATCGAGCGAATCGACACTCGGCCGCGCGGACTCGACGGTCGGAGGGTGATAATTTCCGAAGGTTCGAAGAAGGCCTTGCCTCTCAGCATCATCGCTTATTTCTTCAGGGCCGAGTCTCGATTGGGAGGAAGTCGGACGAGAAGAAGTAGCCTCCTCATAGGTAGGGATGGGCAGGTGCTGGTACTGGCCTTTGTCACCCATGGTTGATGGAGGAGAGTGATGTCCCGAGGGACGCCACTCACTGCCGCATTATCGTCTTTGCATCTAGGAAACAGGCATATCGCGATGATGACCGAGTTAACGGTATGGATTGCTATCAATTTGCGAGAACAAAAGGCGCAGTTGATTCGGGGAGGAATCTGGAACGATGGGCGCCAATGCCTCGACTGTACCTCGTACCTAGGTAGTGACTGCGCCTCTTGAGTTTCGGCCACCTGCGGACGACGAAGACTAAAACGAATCCTATTGATCCTTTAAGCGAAACTCCCCGCTGAAACATGTTGCCAGCTTGCCCTCAGCCGAAGTTCCGCCTCCAAATCTTGGTTCAGTCTTGATTCCGGGACGATAGCTGTATTAAATCTACGTGTTCTGTTTATGCATTGCTAATGTCAATCAACTTCACTTCAACAGCGCCATTGAATTATCGCAAAATCACTCTCAAAGCGTACCGGATGACCACTAGAGATAAGTCCGCCGCAGGATCCCTGACGAAGCACTACACGATTCTGCCGAGCAGCTAAGACCTCCATACATTACATCGAACTCATGGAGTGCTATTATAGGTAAATCAAGTGCCTTCACCATAACAGACACCCTCGATCATGGTCCCATTTAGTCGTTGAAGACCTTTCCTATCAGCTCCAACCAAGATCATTTAAGTACCGCCATCACGGTGATCATATGACATTCAATTTACGTTCCTTAACCCTTGGTCGCATCTTTTTTGACGAAGGTATGGACATAATCTTGCATTGCGGCGCTCGTCTCGGTTTCAAGCTGCGACGGCTGTCCAGCTCTAATGCCATAAATCCCAATCATCATCGCCAGATCTGACACATGATATGCGCCCATCCACCACAGCGGGTTGATGTTGGAGCGGTTTTCGCCATAGACATTGCGGAAGGTGGGGATGTTCAAGTTGTTTCGGTACAGGCACGAATTGAAGATGCCACGGACGGTGTTGAGGGTGCCCACCAATGCAGCCTGCGGATTTGGATCTGGAGTGAGATTGTGCACCGGATACGGTGCCAGAGACCCGTATTCATTGGCGGTTGTAAATGGTTGCCGGCACCATTGCAACTTGACCAGCTTGATGTCTCGCTGTATAATTGCTCAAGACGATGTCCTCGTCTGCAATCGGAGTGAAAGCGATTGGGGCATGATGAGGGTTGGTTGTGCCGAAATTATCTTGATACTGACTGACGAAATTCTCGATAATATCACTACAGGGACACTATGCATACATTCCAACTCAGCAATCTTGTTGTTTGGTAATCGCAACCGAGATTGAGCGCAACGAATGTGAAGTTGGTCCCTTGGACGTCGGCATTGGCAGTGTTGGATAGTGCTCTTCCGGATTGCATAAAGAAGCCGCACGCTATAGGGTCCTCATAGTAAGCAAAGTTGTCATCGCCGGTCGAACGAGAGCCAGCTGACTGTACCCCACAGTGTCGTAGCAGTCGGATCGCCGCGAAAGCTGGCTATATTGGTCCGGATCCATTCGAGCGATGCTCTTTGATCGAGAAGGCCTGAATGCTACGTTACCAACCCCGCCGCATTGGGGAAGCCCATGATGTTAATAAGGTAGTTAATTATCACCACAATATAGCTCTAACTCCGAGTGACCCGTTTAGCTAGTATTTAAATCAGTATATTGATTCCCACAGTCACCATGCTTACTCAGTACTATAAAACCAGTTAGAAAGCGACTCTAGCGACGTTAAGAACGTAAGATTTACCTTCTATCATAAATATAATATTCGGAAACTTCGGAGGGTTAGTGACGTTTACCGAAGTCTAAATGAATCGACTAAGATAATCTTTAGAGAATCTATACACATATAGACCGGCACTAATACTAAATTAAGACGAGGCTACTAGCCATAGATATTAACTTATACGGCGGTGAACATAGCCTCTTTCTAATACGCACACTTAACCTAAGGAAGTCCTCTCTATTAGTAACTTAATTCCTTATTAATTATATAAAGAATAGTCCCCGAGAACTATATAAGAAGAACTTTAGTCTAGGGTCGGGTTAGGTCGAATTAAGAAAGGTAGCGACCTAACCTCTTAGCGAATTAGATTAGGTCGCTAACTAGTTAATCTAATTTATTTATACTTAGGGGGAAAAATAAGGGCGGAGTATCGGGTTAAGACTTCCCCCGGGGAACGAAAGGTAAACGAAGTGAACTAAGATATAGTGAGGCGGCGATTCCTAGAGAATCGTAAACTAACTTCTTTCACTTCTTTCCCTAGGGAACGAAAGTTCTCGTCCCTTTAAGGGACCTTCGAGTTCCTTCCCCCGGGGAACGAATTTCCTCATTATTCTTCGCTACGACGTACGCTATTTATTTACGTCGTTCCGCGAAGAAAGAAAATTAATAAATTATCTAAGTCTTAAGAGATCTTCTTATTTTATATATCTCTATTTTAGATAAGAACTTAGTTATTTCTTAGGGGACGAAAACACGTTCTTAAATTAGTCTATCTCTTATTATTCTCGAAGCTTTTTATCTCTTACTATAGTTTATTTATATTATCTACTTATCGTCTTACGAGAAGCGTATTATCTTTTCTCTTATTATCGAACGTTATCTATTATATTAGCCTAAACTACTAAGCGATATATAGTCTCTCTAAACGATTCTTTTACGTCGAAACGATCTTATCTTCTACGAGTCTTACGCTCCTCGTCGCCTAAGAAGAACTATTCTTTTATCTATCTTCTATAGAATTATTTATTAATCTAAGAGCGAGTTAAACTATATCGTCTCGTAATCGTACGCTTTCTTATCGACGCTCTAACACTCGACGAAGAATAAGATATAAATCGTTTATTAAACTATTAGGAATTTCTTAGTAAGTAGGTAGAGTCTAGCGATAAGGGTGTTTAGATATCTCTATAGTATATAGTTAATACTATACACGACTCTAAGTATAAGAGAAGAAGAAATACGCCTCTTATGCGGGGAGTATACTAGTAATAAAGATGCACCCCCTAAGTCGCATTAACGCTTAGCTGGTGGTCTAATCGTTATCTAAGATATTAGAAGTCCGTTATTCCGATGTTTAGCCGAATCCGTAACACTGCCCCCTCCTTTAGGCTTCTCGTCCCCGAGAAGCTGTGAGTAGTATACTCGTCGCACCCGTCTCGTATATACTTCCATGACTATCTACGGCAGTGTACTCCATCGAGTCGGTGCGTACTTCACCTTAGCGACGTACTTAGTTAAGATAATTCTACTTCTTAGCCTCGCCGTATAGCCTTATATATTTAGTCTCGTATACGTTAGCCTTATTTTATTTTATATACGCTGTGAATAATGTTAGTAATGAATGTCATAAATAGATCTATTTATACTGTGATAATAGCGTGAAGATAATAATATAAGGATAATAGTATATCTTTACTACTCGTGAGTCGCATATATTTAAATAGCGAGTAAAGAATATTAGTGAATAATATATCTACTTCTTCTATAATATAAATATTTCGTTGCGACCATCGATTCTCGATCTTTTCTTTTCTCGTATTACTTAATCCGTTTCTCTATAAGCGCTTTTCGTCTACTATTTATATACGCTCTATTTATACTAATGTATTATATTATAGTTAATTCGCGTCACTAAATTTCCTTTTTTTTTTTTTAACTTACTTAATTTAAGCTCTTCACTAGTGAGTCTTATACGTTATATATACTTATCGTATACTAATCGCTTTAAGTATCTTTCGCTATTATTATCCCCGCTATTTCTTCTACTCCCGGCTCTAGCGCTATTATTAGTGGCTTCGGTGGTGAACGTCGCCCCCCTAATGAAGGTAAACGTTGTATATACTTACGCTATCATAGTGCGTATAGTATACTAACCGTCTACTAGCTCGCCGCTCCCCGTCGCCGTCTCGCCCGGCTAAAAAAACTAAGAAGAACCCGCGTAAGAAGGCGCTAAGCCTACTCTACCGCCGCTACCTCCGCCGCCTTAGTAACGGCACCGGCGCCGGTAAGCTAGCTTCGAGTTAGCCCCTTATTACGAATCCGGCTAAATATCGGAAGAACGGACGCCTAATACATCGGAGAATAATTAGGTCACCAGCTAAGAGATGCGACCTAGGGAGTGCATCCTTATTACTAGTACACTCCCCGCATAGAAGGCGCACTCTTTCCTCTCTTACGCTTTAAGTCGTGTACAGTATCGATCATATACTATAGAGATATCTTATATATACGCTTATCGTTAGATTCTACCTACTTACTAAGGAATCTCTAATATTCTTAAAGCGTTAACTCTAAGTCGGTCGGAGTAAGCGATAAGCGTAAGATACGCAGGATGTTCACCGGCGAGAGGATAACCACTCGCTCTCGGTCGGGGAATATATCCGTGGGTTAGTCGTCGAGCTAAACCATACCGAGCAACTCGCGCGAAGAAGAGCGAGAAGCAGATGCGACTTCCGAGCGAGGCGCAGCTAACCCTCTCGATACACTCGACGACGAAGACGAATAGATACACCGACGGCATTAAGAATTACAGCGAAGACTCGTACTCTATAATGAGCCTTTAGGTTAGACCTTAGTTACGATTAAGAATTACTCCATCACCACAATAGCCTATTAGATAAAACTTAAAAGGTAGACGACTTAGAGGCCTATAATTAACTCTTAATCGTTAGATATTAATATTCTTATAATGTGGCATCGTTGGCGAGCGATAAAGTAGGCCGCATTTCGTAGTTAGTTTATGTTTCTACTAAGTATTATAACTAAAATCTTAATTAGGAAAAGTCTTATTACGATTAACACTAGATCTCTTCGAGGTTTTAGTCACCGCCTTTCTTCTATTCACGCTATATATTTAATCTTATATTTCCCGAAGTATAGCGAGTAGTATAGCGAAGAATAAAGGTGGCCGGCCTCGTAAGTACCGGAATAACGAGGCACTTCGAGCTAGCCGTGCAGTAAAAACCTAACGTTAGCGCGAGAAAAAACGTATAGAATAAGACGACTCTTCGCTCCCGAGGGAAACCGAACTTTAGATTATCTACGACTCTCATAGTATTCTAATATAAGCTAAAGTCGAAGAACTATCGCGATTAACCGATTCTCGATAGAATATCTAAGTAAAGAGTCTATCTATATCGATCGACGCTAACTAGAAGATAATAAGTTATTTTTATATTTTCTTAAATTACTCTTTATCTCGAAGAATAACTAATATATCTTCTTTCTCTCTAGATTATTCTCTTAGTATATTAGCTTCGTTAATAGTCTTAACTTATTAACTAATTAATCTAGAATTCTCTCTTCGAACCGAACGATACTCTCGATTATTACGATGACGCTCTACTCCCACCCCTCGAAAACCTTTATATCTTTCGCTCGTTTAATAATAGATCTCCGTTATTCTCTCGATCTTCGTTATTTTATATCGACTCTCTCTCTTCGTTTTATTTATTATCTCGAGTTCCTTAGTCTCTTAGATCTTCGAAAATTTCTTTACACTAACTCTTCTAGTCGTCTTTCTCGAGAGCGTCGTTACTCTTAAATTAATCTATATAAACTAGATTAAATAAATCTAACGAGAGTTATTCTCGAAATAAGTTATCGAATCTACGTAAAGATAGTATAATACTAGAAGTAAAGACACGAGATTTAGTGATCTTTAAATATATCGATATCTAAGATATTAACTAGATCGCGGGCGAGAATAACTAGAACGAAGATAACTAAGATAGAGACGATTAAGAAATAAATAATGAAAATAAAAATAATTAAGATATAGACGAGGATAACGAGGAAGAGATCGATATTATGTAACGAATTATTAAGGAGCTTTTATATTTCTATGAATATAGTAATAATAAGTATCTCGAAACGACTTAATAATATCTCTATAGATCTACTCATTATATATCTCTAAACGCGGTTAATAAATTTCTCGTCACTATACTTAATATACTTAGTTATATAATATTTTCTTCGTTTAATATAATATTCGATTATTAAGAAGCCTAAGATTAGAAGGCGTAATTTCTAAGAACTTATTTAAAGACGTTAGATAAAAAAATTTATATCTATCTCTCTACGTTCGAGTCTCTAAAATCTTATCTTAATTTAATAATAATCTTTAATTTTAATAATATTATAAAATTTCTTATTAGTTTAGTCTTTACGAAATATAGTATTAAGTTTATTCTTAGTCTCTATATTATTACTAATCTATAAGCCGATCTTTATCTTTCTCTTTTAGTTTTAACTTAGTATAGTGTACGTAAAGTACGACTATATAAAGTGATTCATTATAAATTTAGTTACGTCGATTATTTTAAAAATACTTAGCTTTTAGTTTTCTTCTCTTTTTATTTACGTACGCTATCTAGATTTAATAACTATCTTAGCTAGAATAATATAACTCGCTAGATTAATTAGATAATCTTATCCGCGATTTATAAATAGATCTCTTTTACTCTTATCTAGAGTTATCTCGCTATCTCTTACTTTACTAAACTTAATAGTCTCGCTCTATACGCGGAGACTCGCGCTCAACTTAATAGTAGAGAGCGTTAATAACTTCTT